GGGGGAGGGAGGCAGTTGCCACAAAATTTGGAAGACTGAGGCATAATTTTCTCTGCATACAAAATTAGGAGGACAAATTCATATATTTGGAAGACCAAGTTCACTAATTGGTTTCTAAAATAATTTCATTTTACGTATTGAGCGCGATGAGCTTGCCTGACCTCTTTCCTTCCCTGGACCCGACCTCTAAAATATGTCCTATCTACCTCGTTTGTTGATGTTGATGGTTCTTCAGTTTCTAGTAACTCAGATGGAGTTGGTCCCAAAGGATCAGCAGAAGGCACTTCAAGTGGACGATCTCCTTCATCAGGACCAGGACAACGACGATCCATTCGGCCAAATAAATGCTGAGACTTACGAATACCACAGTTCGAACACTCGGGATCTCTTTTACTTGATTTAGACATCGTAATTCAGGCGTCCCGCAAGAGAAGTTTATGCCGCTTTGGTGGACACACCTGCTCACGTGATCAAATATCACTTTACATTATCAACTGGATTGCGCTCAATAAAAAAAGCTACAAAGAATACGAAATTTAAAGAGAAAAGTACCGACAGATTTCAAAAACATCGATAGCCTCCGAGCTCAAACTGAGGAACACGTGACCGAGGGGAATTTTTAACACAGGAATCCCGTCCCCATACCTAAAAAGGGTTTTYATCTGTAGTTAATATCATTGTTTCTTATCTTAAAACTTAGAAGAGGTCTACAAAAGATAGATCAACCGCGATCAGGAACTTTGATGTTGATGATTTTTTAAAGAATAATAATTATTTATTTTTGAGATTGTGTTACAACCAATTTAACGTTGCGTTACTTTGGTATACACATTCCAAAGCGTCCATTTCCGTTTCCGTGACCACGCGCGTGTACCAATCAAAATCTTCTATTTACCCCACGTGACTCAAATAGAAGAAGCTTTACACAAGACGTGATGGAACACGAAGATTCGCCAAATAGGTCGAGATTTCCCTAAATTAAACCCAGAAATCTCCCTATTCATCACCAATGGATTGGAGTTTATCAACTCGGTAGTCTTCTAAAGCGTCTTTCCTTCTTATGGCTCGGTTTCGGGATGAGAAAATAACAGAAAAATGGTTATTTCGGACAGAAGTGGTGGTGGTGGTGTTGCTGTGTTTGTTAGTGTACTCTGACGAAACTAAAAGCTGCACGAACAAAACATCCCAAGGAAAAGGCCAAAATTCGACCTATTTTGATTATAAATCTTCAGTTGTGGAAAACGGTAAGTACTGTTTTTATTTTGACTCTATAGGTTGAGTTAAAACACTAAAAATAGTTGCTACAACACGACCTTCACATGTGCGTTCTTGTTGTGACTAAGCTTTGTTTTTATTTGTCAATCCTGCTTTCCAACTTGTTTTTATAGTTTTCCAGTCTTTTCATTCTCTTTTTAGCAAAAACAATTACCTTTTAATTCATTTAATAATAAAATTCATTCAAGTTTTGATTAAAAATACCATAATAATTTACCACGACCCTCGTGGTTGAAGTAAGAAAAAAACATTGTCTTGGCTATTTGAAGACCAATCATTAGCTAACAAGTACAAGAAGTATGTGTTTTGATTCATTTGAATTACTTAAACCCGTCGTTACTTTTTGAAAGTGATCTGTTGTGTCCCTCGCATTTTTAGTCGATCTTATAATATTGCATTGGCAACCAAACCATGGTATTTATGGCCTTAAGCGAAGTTCAAAGTTTATTCATAGGACTAAGAGAGAGGGAGGGAGGGGGGTTAGACTGTGTTTCTATATCCATATACATCATCATTTTATTTCATTTTATTTTATATTTTATATTTTATTGGTTACAATCTCCAATGGAAATTTATTTTACCGAGCCAATAAAATATCCACTGGCATGAGTCAAGATAGAGACATAGGCTCATAGCTCTCTTCTCTTCTCTTCTCTTCTCTTCTCTTCTCTTCTCTTCTCTTCTCTTCTTTTTAATATTCATGTTTTTTCCTACCGCTACCTTTGACTTCTTTTTTTTTCTTTTAATATTTCAGTTAATGTACTCATTACAAACTAACTTTAAGATCTCATAACAACATTATTTTTTCTTTATAGAGTTCATAGTTGTATTTAATGGATACTATTCGGAATCTACAAGAGAGAAGTATGTTGGAGCGGCACTTCTCTCTTCTGGTGTTCTATCATGGTACATTATTCCTCGGCATAACCCTGCTAGTAACTATCCTAGTGATTTCTCCCTTCTCTTGGTAAGTACTGTTACACTGTACCTCTTTTCTTTAACTGATTGAAGCAATTTTTGTCAAACTTTCATCACCACTAAATAAATATTTACCCTATATTTGGAATTTTTCTAAGTTCTTAAATGAAATAGAATGATGCAATTCAAAATACTATTGCACTACGTTAGCAAACTAATTATGCAATTTTCATGGGATTACACTGAAACGTAATGTATTCTGAAATAATTAGTTTTTTTATTATGAAGTAATTAAAAAGTAGAGAGGCCACATTTTAATTAAGAATCCTTCAAAGTAATTATGAGATATTAAGGACTGAAAATGCCTTACAGATATCATTGGAGTGGGGGGGGGGTATTATTTTCATTGCCTTAGCCAATGAGAAGCGAGCTTTTTAATCATGAAGGAAGATTACTTTAAGACACAAATATTCTTTTAAAAAAAATCAAGTAGTTTTTTAATAATGACTTGTTGTTGGTAGTACTAGCTAGTTAATCTAAGGATTTCCACAGAATGTTTTTGAAATTATATTTATTTATCACATTTTAAAAAGTAGTTCACAAACCTATGTAAACAACAGCTATATCATTATATTGTAAAATTATTTAGCATGAGAAATAGTATTTTTTTAAGGGGTTTTCAGGGTTCTCTTGCTCTTCTTCTGGAAAACATACACTGTGAGAAGCTAAATTCTAATTCAATCTGTGAGTTGGCCATGCCAAATTAAAATATAAAGGTTTAAAGGTGTTTTTGTATTGGTTTGTTTAACATTTAACAATACCATGTGCAGTGTTCAAACCTAATTTATACGAATGTACATATTACTCTAAGTTGTGTGTTATCTGTACATTTGTAAGAACAACTGTGCAAATATGATAGCGGCTTTAGGAATAACATCAAGACAAAAATTGTCATCTTACAGGACCAGAATTTAGAGGGGAGGGGTACCCACCACGTCACCTTTGGAGGTGAAATCCTATTTTTTTCCTAAAAGTCAAATTATAGTAATGAATGTAGTGTCTGTTTGTATGTTTGCTCAACAGCCTATATGTGTATATAAATAGTCACTATTGAGCATTTTAATAGGTTTTTGAGGGGGAGGGAGGGGATATTTATCAGGACCCACTACCTAAATTAATAAAATCTGGGTTTTTTAGGGGACTTTCGTCATGACTTGGCTCCTTTGTTCTAGAGATTTTGGTTTTAACTGTTACAGCTGGGAAACGGTCATTCAAGGTAATGGCCCGGTAGGCCGTACAGATTTATCATGAACTGGGTTCCACTAGGCTATTGCATGTTATAATGTGTTTCTTTTTTGGAATTGCATAAAACTGAAAATTAATATTGATAAATTAGAGGTACAGTAACTAATTGCAGAATAAGGATTGCTGTACTATTTAACATTAAATAAAACAGTTTTTTCCATGCTCCATGTAGGTGGATCCAGCCAAAATATTGGGGGGGGGGGGGGGGGGCTAATTGAGTTTCTTCCGTGGACACAACAGAAAACAATAAAAAAAAGCATCTAATTCTTCAGTTTTGTTTTGATTTTTTTCTGCTCCCCCCCTGGATCCGCCCTTGCTCCATTCAGTAATAAAGCATGCAGGAAGTGACATAAGCATGAAAGAAGTGTAAGGAAAATCACAAGCCTTAGGCGTATTATAATATAGTTTTATTTCAGTATTGAATTTATTTATGCAAAGAGAAAGACGGTTGCAGGATCTAGCAGCACATCGCGTTTGCAAATGGCGTCAGCACTGTGCTCAGTTCACTAATAAAGCACAGTTTTCAACCAATCAGCATGCACATACTATCGTAACTATATAATTGATAATATTATATACATTAATCCTTCACAACAAAGAACTCAAAATCAACATATTACTTTTTTCTCAGGTGCTTGATCTTACATGTATATCACTAATTTAGTTTAGTCCAGGAGGCTGTCGCCGGATATCTRTTATTACACATTATCAATTAATGAGTAAATCATTTACATTTTAAGTTTAAGTAAGCTTTTTTTTAAAATTACCTGATTTATTACTAAGTAGTTATAAATTAAAATAATTATTATTTACCGTGTTCTGTTTCTCTTTTTATTCCAACCAGCTAAAAGGTGATTCAGCACTTGGTGTCAAAGCCCTTGCTAAACATCCTATGATCAAAACCGTCACATCCCAGAAGAAAGTACAAAGATTTTTAAGAAGTGTTAAAGGTATACCGAGCCATCACAATCTGTTAAGCTGTACTTAATTTATTTTGCACTAAATAATTATTATTACAAAATATTTCTTCTTAATGTTTGACATCAATGTTTCATGTGTCATTAGTACAGAGATCATCATTCTTTACATTTGTATGTTTTTACTTTTTGTGATTTTTAGATTTTTGGTGGGAAAATGGCATGACCCACGAATGTGTGTCTGAAAGTTTAATCTATGACCAAAATGACCATATATTTCGAAAAACTTTGAGGAGTCAATCTAACAATCAAGGAGAACAGCATTTTTGAGCAATTTTTTATAACATTTTGGTCACCTTGAATATGCTGAATAGCTGAATATACTGGCCTCACATTAAAATTGTATAATACTGACCTTAAATTCTTTGTCTTTAGAGCCAACAGAACAGAAAAATAAAAGTTCAAAAACTAGTGACTGTGCAGAGGGTGATGAAGGTTGTTTTTCATCTGGTGTTATGGCAAGGTAAACAAATGTTAACACATTTCATAAATGTTAGGTTTTTAACACACATTTTGAGTGAGTGAGAAATGTCTGAAATTTTTTCATTGCATTTTATGCTGTTTAGTCTATCAGGGTTTGCACTGGTCAAGCTTGAAATCCTTGAAATGCCTTTGCATGGACCCTTCTTAAAATTGTCTTGAATGTGAGGCTAACATGGAAATACAAAAGAAATGCCACAAATTCAATTGAGAAAAATGTGTGATTTCTTTCATATTTCCATCATGTTAGCCTCGCTTCCACAATACTTTTGAGAGGGGTCCATTTATTATACAATTTCAAGGGCGCTTGAATAGCTCTTGAAAAGTATATCAATCATTTAAAAGTACGATGAATACTCCTTGAATAATGAAAATGTTTTTTTTAAGCTTTGAAATTCTGAAAATGAAATAATGAAATGAATTATATAAAACTTCAGTAAAATATTATGGAGATTTTGGTTATTTGGGCTACTTGTGGTTGCCCCTGGAAAATCTGGAAATCAAGTTAACTTGTTTCATTCCTGCAGGCGGACAACCAGATCAAGTTTGGCAGTGGTAAGTTGATAATTTTGAATCTTTCTGAGTTTGTATTTTTTTGATTGGCAGAAGCCAAACTCCAAATGATTTGTGTCATTTGTGTAATGTTAGGTTTTAGTAACTGATTACAGATTATCATCACTATTATAGTGTTTTGTCAAGTGGGCAGCTGTCATTGTCAACAATGATGTTTYTTTTGGGTTTTTTTGGTTTTTCTTTTTTTTTGTTTTTTGTTTTTAATTTTTTTGAATTTTTTTTAAATTAAATAGTGTGTAAATTATTAATTACAAGCATGTGTTTTCAATACAAAATATATACATATTATTTACAAAGACATTGTCTAAGAATATTAATTGAAAAGTACATTATTCAAAACAAAGGAAGAAAAAAAAAGAAAAAGAAAAAAACAATGATGTTTATAGTATCTTGATTGTCTTGTAGGGTCAAGGCTTGTGGCATAACCAACATAGACACAACCCAGGAGGCCGTCATCTCATGAGAGCTGTACCAAAACAGGTAAAATACTAGACATACACCTGATTCAAACTTTTCTTATCATGAGCACATCACATGAGCATGCATTTTCTATTTTCACCATTCACATCCTAAAGAAYGGATAGTCAAATTGTATTACAGTGCAACATGCCAAACAGTGGCTACCCAACTTATCTTTTACCAAATGAATGTCGTCGAATCCTTTCCTGCCAAATGTTTCCATCAATTAAAAGACTTTGTACTAAAGTGCTCAATATGAATCAACAAAGGGACCAAAATAGGTATCACCTAGGTAAATTCCTAGCCATTGTTTAAGTTTGTATGGCAAAGAGTATGAAATAATTTTAAATATTTGTGATCTTTAAATGAGTTCAAATGCAAATGCACAAATAGTCCCCTTCACAGTTCCCTGCACCATCTTGAATGGTAGCTGTGTCTTTGCATCAAAACAAAATGAACGGTGAGTTTGCAATGATGGAGACCTTTTTTAACACCTTGGACAATTATTCACTTGTCTTTGTCATTGCAAGCTCACCGTTCGTCTCGCTTCGATGCAAAGGCACAGCTACCTTTCGAGATGGCCCAGGGAACTGTAAAGGGGACTATTCTCGCTGTCTGATTGGGTAACTAGTAAGTAAATAATTTGGTTGCCATGGTTAGGCACGGCACACTGTAACAATATATAAAAATATTATATAAAACATTAATAATTGGCTGTGGGCAGAACACTTGTCAAATGAGAAGTGTTGAGAAATACAAACTGTCACACTTCTCCTACACTTCTTCTTGATTTAGCACATTATTCATAAACTGCTTGACTTGTAATTTGTAATTTATGGCTTTGATTAAGGTCCAAGCATGGTAGACTTTAACTTGTCTTACTCTCTTAGAAGGACCCTAAATTTGAATTTTGTTAAGATGATTTCTTCTCTCAAGTTAATATTCATTCTAATATTTAATATACAGTATATATATTTCTATATTCCTAGATTTCTCTTGTTCTGCAAGCTGATGTCCTGTGGGGTATGGGATTTACTGGTGATGACATCAGAGTAGCTGTGTTTGATACTGGTCTACCCAAGAACCATCCACACTTTAAAAAAGTAAAAGACCGCACAAACTGGACAGAAGAGAAAACTCTTGATGATGGTAAGGGTTATAAACTATAAGCTATAACTGCCAATCAGTTGGGCATTGGTTTGTTGTGTGGTAAGGTGTGGGTTTGCTGGCGAGGCAGGGCATAAAACAACAGGTGATGTTCTCTGCTGATGCACCCCCTCTCACCACTGTTGTCATAATACAGTCAGACCATTTCAGCTTAGGTGTAATGTTTTCCCATTTTAGACCAAGTATCATTCTCTTGAGAATAAGATTCTTTGTTTGAGTTGTTTTCATAATATTCATGTGTCTTATCATGTGCAACCGTTAAACAAAGAAATGATACTCTAGGGAATGACACATGGTCTGAAATAGAAAAACAATACACCCAACCCTGAAAGGTCTATTGTATAATTATATAGTTATAAGGGGCTATTTCACAAGGTTTGCTCCACACATATGGTACCACACACAATTAAATTTAAAACTGGAGAGCCCAGAAGCAAACCCTGATACAAGGTAGAGAAAAGCAAATCAACTCAAATCACATATGTGGCTCACCTGGGAAGCAAGCCCACAATATTCCCAGTGTGAACGACACAGTGGTTAGTAGCAGTGCAATAGCAGAGCACATGGTATCCATGCAGCMCAGACAAGTTTTCAGACCAATCATGTCTGATGTACCTCACTAAGCTGCAGAGATAAATACAGACACCTTGCCTTATTTTGTCTTGCTGTTATTGGTAACACATCAAGTGCATCATGTCTGACATTGGTAAAATAATCATTTGACAAGTACTGTATAGTTTGGTAGAGATGACGACTTAAGGTGCTGACAGACAGTGCAACATTGCAAGCAACATTGCAAACAACATTGCAAGCAACATTGCAAACAACATTGCAAGCAACATTGCAAGCAACAAATTTGAATCGGAGTGATCTGTGTGTCAGCACCTTTAGGTCAGTAAAGTTTGGGAATCAAGGAAGTTGTAGCAGTAGTACATGTACACTCACCTCCTGACATCTCAGGTTCAATTTCTGGACTCCGCATCACATGATGTAGAGTTTTTCTCCAGTTTTCCTCCCTCTGCAGTTTAATTCAAATTCAAAATTTCTTTCATTTGATCATGAAATGAGGGCCACAGGTTCGCTAAACACTGACCAATAATAATTAGTGTCACCCTCATACATCTACAGTACATGCATGCCTTTATGTGGCATACATGTAGATAACCATTAAGAGCTGTGCTATAATGTTTCTTGTTGTTTATACAGGTCTTGGTCATGGTACCTTTGTTGCTGGGGTGATAGCCAGTTCTCAAGAGTGCCTTGGGTTTGCTCCCGATGCTGAGTTACACATCTTTCGAGTGTTCACTAATAATCAGGTAGGATAAGAAGACTGGATGTACCGAAAGTATACATAAAATAATTATTGTCAAGGATCAATCTTGATCCTAAACTTGAATTTATTCTTTCTTGCCCCATGGTCGCTCGACCTACTCCAACATGCATGCGCTACACAGGGAGCCCAATACATGTTTCTTCTGAACACTGGACTTCTTTTTCAGTTAGACTCTTGCTTCCTCATTTTTTTTATACATGTAATCTGTTTGTCCACCTATACATGTATATTCACTGTATTCCTAAAGTCTCTCATAAAATCCTTTGTCCATCCTTCTATTTATCCATCTGTCTAATGATACTTTAAATCCTTACATTCATTCAGATTAGTTGATCCATCCACACAACTATCCAGGCATCCATCCAACCTTCCATTCATCCATCTGTTCATCAATCCACTCCTCCACCATTCTACTGTACCCATCTCTCCTGGCAGTTCCATCTAGTCATTCATCCATCCATCCATCCATCCATTSTTCCATCCATTCATCTATCCATTCATCCATTATTATAATCAATCCTAGGGTCCAGTATATTCGTAAATAACCCAGGTACAGTATGAATTCATAAACAAATTAGCAGTACCCTTAAATTATATTATTTCTATATAGGTCTCTTATACATCCTGGTTCCTTGATGCCTTCAATTATGCAATTCACAAGAAACTCAATGTTCTCAACCTGAGTATTGGAGGACCAGACTTCATGGATCAGCCATTCGTTGACAAGGTAATAAGACATGATTTCTTGGTATAAAACGTCACCCTGGTTAGTGAAATATTAGAAACATTTATGGCACATTCTACATACATACTTCAAATTTTATCAATACCCTGATTGACAAAGTCAAGCTAGAGCTACCTCACAGGTGAAATCGGAATTAAGAAAACCTCCCATATCAAGGAAGATACCCAACAATAATATTGCAGAGTCCAGGAATCAAACACAAGAGGGATTCAAAGGAATGCATGTGGTCTGAAATGGGTACACATTTCAATCATGTTGATTAGGATTGGTGATCTTGAAAGCAAAATTCAGCTGGTCAACTAACAGGTATTTTAATATTTTAGGTCTGGGAGCTGACAGCCAATGGTGTGGTAATGGTGTCTGCTATTGGTAACGATGGACCACTCTATGGGTAAGTAAACTGCACTATCACAGTCAGTATTGGCAATTTAGCCTCACTTGCAAAACTTGTAAATAAAATACTTGTCATCGCTTATCACCACTGCAAGTACAACAGTGGCGCAGCTCAATGGGATCGAACTGAAAGCATGTGAAGGTGCCTCTGGCAGCCGCTATACAGTCCATGTATGACCCCAGAGCACAGCTCTAACCAGTTTGAATTAGTTAGGGTTGATTTGCATTGACTACAAAAGCCAAAAATGGTTGGCTGAATACTCTACCAGGAATATTTTTCAGAATGTTTTTGAGTAGTTGGTGATAAGTCTGAAGTAGCTGGCTGTGAAAAAAGTGCTTGATGAGGTTCAATTCACATCTTAAACTTCAAAGCATTCGACAGAGCTCTGGCGGTCGCCGGCTGATTCTGAAAGCCCTGTCAACTGTAATAACATCTATTGAAAGAGAAGATGTTGAGTGATATGACATGGACAAAAGGAAACTGCAATATGATATGCATCACATACTTTGATATTAAGTGCAATATAATACTTACCAATAGCAGTTATATCACAGTTGTCCTCCTTGTATTGTATTGACCTATTAGCCTTGATTACAAAACATTTTTAAGTTAGGAAACAGGGAAAGAGCCAGAAGGTTGACAAGTCCTGATATCAATGAACTGATGTTTACTAATTATTATTGTTCCTTTGTAGGACCCTCAACAATCCAGCAGATCAAATGGATGTGATTGGAGTTGGTGGTATTAACTTTGATGACCATATTGCCAGGTTTTCCTCCAGAGGAATGACCACATGGGTGAGATTATTTATATTTAATATCTTATTTTCAAGGGTGTTGTAGCATTAAAAAGTGCACTTGCCTCTCACATCTGATCAAGATCTCATTAACAAATAAACAGCTTTTTCCATGCTCCGTTCAGTAATAAAGCACGCAAGAAGTGGGGTAAGCACGAAAGAGGTGTAAGGAGAAGCTCGAGCAGTAGGCGAGTTTGCTTCCTGCGTGCCTTATTACTAAATGGAAAAAGCTGTTTTATTCTTTTTATTATATAGCTACTAATTTTATTTTGGCACTGTACACACTCTTGGATAGTGTCCGCACTGTGCTCCGTTCACTAATAAAGCACAGTTTTCTACCAATCAGTGCCGGCGTACTATCCCAACTATATAATAATTATTTATATTTAAGAGAGGCTGTCCGTAAATATCGACTATTGTCGGAAAAAATTTAAAAAATGAAAATTTTCTTTTCCTTACCAGAAGATTACATTAGTTGAACTGATT